ATCAACACGTGGTTGATTGAGGAATCACTGCTGCTTCTATTGCATTGTGCCACCACTATTGTATTGGGCCACCACTAATTGAAGGAGCCTGCTGGAAAATTTTTGCTCAATCAGCTGATTTAGGAATGCCAGCTAAAATTCAGCCAGAGTATGGGCACCTTTACTCGTAACCATTTCTAGGAGTCTTACTAGACAGCACCTCCTCCCACTGGAATAGGAAACTCCATCACCAAAAATAAAGTTGTCCTTCTGCTGAACTGGTCAGTATTAGATGAGAACCAAAAAGGGCCTAAATTTGATGGAAAATAAATACAACGGAAAAACACAAAAGTACACGATGCGATGGTGGGAACCTTGCTGTCCTGGTGGAAATAGTTACCAGTAAGCAACTTGTACCCAGTTGTCTTTCTAGGACAGCACATGAAAAGGTTAAAGTGAGAAGTAGCTAAACTCTGGGAAGGACAAAAAGGCCCAGATAATTCTCCTTCAACCAAGCAGACCCTGGGAAATTACAGACACGGTAGACTAGGAATATGAACCTCTCAGGAAAATATGAAGGCAAAAAGTATGAGCCGAACTACAGGGAAAGTCCATGCCAAATAAACCCCAAACTGTCTGATTACCTTTGAAGTTAAGTCAGTCGTGTATATTAGTGGATTGAAAATACAAAACAAAGATACAAGACCAAAGCCTAGTGAGGTTCTCATCAAACACAAGCCCCAATGTAAAAAAGGACATTAGAGAATTTGAGCCAGACTGGATCTGTAAATGTAAACTACAAAGAGCAAATTCTGCATATGGGGATGCAGAATACCTGCACATTAATGAAGTCTTGATTAGCAGCTGAAAAGGTATAGTCTCAGCAGAGCCTGAAAGTACTCACAAAAGGTCTAAGCTACAGTGAAGATTGAGGACCATTATACTTTAGCTCCCCCCTTTGTGTAGGAATAACCTGGTGTCATGTTGGTGCAGCTATTAACGCACGTCACTGTATGCCCACAGTGTACTAGAAGGACTAAGGTAGGATGCTGGGACTATTGCGGACAGAATACTGTACTATGGGAAAAGCTAGGCAATACTAAAATGCTTTAAGAGTTGGTCTCCAGCCAGCACCTGCAGCTATAGGAGAAAGTATTGATACTGATGAGCATTAAAAAAAATAAAAATAAAAAAAGAACTATGGAGGTGAGTGAAATTTCACTCAACCTCATAGTTCGAGCCGACATGTGACAATGAAACAGTCATACGTAGGCTCAATAGGTCGGGAAGTGAGCGAACAGATAGCATCGCTCGCATCTCGTTCATGTCCCTGCAGAGAGCCGTGACTGTTAGACACCGCTCCCCACAGAGACACCGCTCCCCACAGGGATTCCCCCCTACTCGATCCTCCAGTGCTCACTGGAGGAACGGACAGGGGAGGGGGCAGGTACAGCTGGCTCTGCCTCTAGATAGGCAGAGCCAGCTGTCACTCACGCAGCTGGGTGGATCTCGACAGTAATGTCAGGATCCGTCCAGGCTTCGGCAGTCTCAGTATACCACGAGCTGTAGCTCGCAATATACTGAGCTTTGGGTCAGGGGAGGACGCTAGTTTATGTCCACCCGTGACCCTTATGAGAACTATAGGGGGAAAGCACTTACCCCATAGTTCTCTTTTAAGTCTACAAAGACCTCAAGTGTGCTAGTAGTAATTAGTGGCAACATCAACCTGAGCATATACCAAAATACACAAAATAAACAAAAAACAACCACACACAGCCATGTACGGGGACTACAGTGCAAGTATATTGACTTGTTATACTACAACTGTACTTTGTGGTACAGGACCAATACTAGAAGTGCAATTCATATCATGCATAGTCCTCATTTTTTAAATGCCAACTGGCTGCAACTAAGTGCTGCTGGATAAGCACAAGAAGGTGTTCAAAATCTCTAAAGACAGACTTGCACCATACTAAGAAGTCAAGAAAGAACACACACACCCCAATGGGATAGTTTTAGATTAGAGCAGGTTAACTTAACAGCATAATGGAGTGTGTGCACATCATATTGCAGCTTCACCTACCCATTAACAAGTATTGGCCACTGCATCTCATCTAATGGGTCATCAGTTGGGGTAGCCCAGCACTGGTGCAGCACAAGGACGAGTTGTGGATCATTCTTTTGAAGTATCCGAACTTCAGCATACACTGGATCTCCCAGTACCTTGACCAGTGGATAATCAAGGTCTTCATAGTAGTAGTTATACTGAGAATCTGAAAGAAAATATGAAACCTAGCTTTTACCTGGTTCCTCATTTACCCAAGTGTGTTTTCAGTCCATCTTTTTCCTCATCCTCCCCCAAACCAAAGAATGAAACACCTAAAAGAACATGGCAACAATGGCATCTTCAAGCTGCATCTTTCCCATACCAGCCACTGACAATTTGCTGTAGGTTTCGCCTAATGGGGGTGGGGCCTAATCTGCCAGGGTTTCTCAAATCCAGTTTTAAATTCACAAAACCCAAAATTCGGCAGCAAATCCCATTGAAATCAAGGGAAGGAGGGCAGAAATCCAGTTATAGATTCTGGCCTTTTTAGGGCCCATTCGCAAAC